ATGGTCATCAGAAAATTTTACTAAAATGTAATTACTTAACTGTCTAATTATTTCAATCGCTGACCTAAAATGAACTTTCTGAAAACCCATTAATCTACCTGGTCTGGAAAGCCTCCTGCAGCCTTAGGACCAGCCCACTGTGTTTAAACCTCCTCCAGATACTCTTCCTTCTTGTAGGGAAGATGCTCAGCCTGACGTGCCACATGCAGGCCATAACTGAGCATATAACCGAAAGCTGCAAACATAAAACTCTAGTCCTTCTATTTGAGCTCATCACCAGGGAAATGAACCACCCCGAATATGCTGTACTTGGCTCCTCACAGACCCTCCTAGGTGCTGTTTGAGGAGTACAGGAGATGGAAGTAGACATTGACATCTTTGCCTCGCTTTCGATATCGGTGCTGGGAGCGTTAGTTCATTTGAGCTTCATTTTTAGCTGTTGTGCTCTGCTCAGAAGTGATTTGTGAAGCACCAGTGTTTCCATAGCCACAACAACTAATCAGGTTTTCTGCTTGTGATTTCTTTTGGTTCCAATGGCTGTTGTAAGAACGCACCCCACTTCATGTGTGTTTCTCATTGCCCCAGTGAGCTAAGCGTCCTTCCCAGATCGGCTGGGGGAATGTAAGAAGACATTATACGTAAAAAGAGAATAGAACAGCCTCTTCCGTGGAGATGAAGTTGACCTCACAACAAACATAGACATCAGCTGGGCAACCGGTTCAACTTTTCCCAGTTCGTTCTCCTTTCATTCCTCATTTCCACACACATCCACCAGTGATGATGTGCTCTGGATGTAAGTAGGGCCACAGCCATACATCTGCCTTTAATCACACTTTCTGGAGTTGAGAGAGGTGCAGTACGTACCAACAACAGAGCCTGACCTGTCTGTCTGCCAGTGTGCGGTGAGATTATTTATTTTAATTTGTCTTGTGTCAGCAGATACAGATGCAATTCATGCAATCCAACTCAAATGAAACTCGGTGGGGAACCACTTGCAAAGCTGAGATGCCAGGGTGAAGGGTTGGGCAGTCATGTCCTCTCCTGCCCCAGCTCAGCCGTGCCTTGGGTGCCAGGGGCTGGCAGGAGCCCTCACCAACCCTGGTTCCTCCCTCCCAACAAACCTGCCCGGTCTCACTTCCCCCTCACAGACCTGCTTCAAAACAATGGGCCCTGCAAAACTTAACCTCTACAGGAAAGTAGGGGAGCTCCCGGTATAAAAAAGACTTCCTTTTTTTGAGTAAACCAGTTGATATTGTATTTCTTTTGTACGTTGCCTAGTAAGTCTAGAAGATAGTTTTACTGTGACTTTTGTAATTATCTCTGTACTCTTCTACCACAGTTAAGAGTCTCATTAGAAGTTAAATTATTTATGAAACTAATTGCATCTTTTTTGACATATATAATAGACCATTGTGTGGAAAAGCTACAGTAAGAGTTGAGACATTCACCTATGAAGTCAGCTTTGCATTGAACCTGATGTAGAATATAGCCTGAAGTCAAAACAAGAAAGATTAAGCAAGTATCTTTGTAACAGGCTCTTTATCTTAAGCACTTCTGTGGCTCCCACTGCTGTCTGACCCTAATCACTGGTACTGCCTGGGCAGGAATGTGGTAACAAGTCCGCAGCAGGGCAGGGAGACAAATCTTGCTATTTCATGTTGAAAGCCTGGATCACATTTGCAGGCCCGTATCTCCAGCTCACTCCCCCTTTTAAATCTGAGCTGTGAGAATCCACAAGCCCTGAGCTCATCCCACAGCTGAGAACGAATAGGCACTTCACACTTTAAGCATTTTATTTTTTTTAAATCCTAGGCACCTTAGGAGCCCATGACATGTGTTCACAATTGACTTGGCCACTTGTGTTTGATTCAAGGCTGCCTGAGGGAATAGATTTGCTCCCACTCAACTCTGGGCACTTTGGAGCCTGCCCCACAACCAAACACCTCCTTTAAAAGTCTTCCTCATTCCCCCTTCCCAGGTGGGTAAGGCAAAGCCAGTAAATGGTGCCAATAAGCATCTACGTACCTGTTAGCCAGAAATAGCTGCATTTCACAAGGTTGCAACTGCAGTGTTGAGCAGAATGTTGAAGAAAAACAAAATAGAAGGAAAAGGCAGTGACAAGTATTTCAGAGGAAAAGCAAACAATGAGTACAAGAACATAGAATGGGACTAAGAAAGAGATTCAGTATTTGTGACAGAAGGGGGAAGATTTTCTTGGTTAGTGGTTTTTTGTAACAAAAAAATTAATGTTGCTCAGATCTCTGCCTATTAACATAACTCTATTAACGTGAAACTCAGCTGGTATCGCAGACCTACTCCCCATTAACATGGGAATTTACATACCTGTCTAATACGATGCTAGAGAAGACAGGTAACATCTGTTACATTTGTACAGCAGCCCAGCAGAATATTAATCCATTAGCAACTGCCTTGCATTGGCTATCAAAACCAATTTGTATTTTCATCTCACTAATATATTCCAAAACATACTATCAGAGACAAAACTTCTGAAAAGAAGCACATTTTAGTGGAGGCTTTGAGCAACTTTGCCTTAAACCATTACAGAGTGTGTGGAGGATATAAAACCAAAAATTGTAATTAAAAAAATATACTGGTTTTAGCCCAGGCCATGCTACAAAGAAAATAATAAAAAAAAAAAAAATAGTACAAGTGTGAAACTTTTAGTATAGTACTATCACTGCTACATTTAATAGGGGAAAAGAGAGATTAAAACTTACACCTGTTATGAGGAACAATTTGCATTTTTGTGAAAGACAGCACACCTTGTTCTTATGAAGTTTGAGGAACTTTGGGGAGGAACGAATGGTGCTCTTTCTCTGCTAGTTGGGGAAGATCTGCTGCTTTTAGCATTTCTTTACATGTTTTACATTGCGATAGGTACTAAAGGAACTTCTGCCTATCCAAAATTTTACTGTTGGTAAGAGCAGGGAGTTGTTGCTCAGATATACCTTGTCAGGGTGAATTACAGGGAGGAGGTGCAGTGGTGTCCTTAGGCAGGTCTTAGAGATCAGGGATCTGTATTGAGTGATCTACTATGGTGAAAATATACTTTTTGGGTTTTAATCATAAAGATGGTTTCCATTCATGGTACAAATTGAATAAAGGAGATAATTGCTTGCTGAAACAAACCGTGCAAATACATTTCCCTCTCGCTAATGGGCATAACAGAACCTTATGAACGCAAAAATAATTGCTGATCTTGTGATTTGGGGGCAAGCTGTACGCTTTTGTCACATTGTGCAATATCCTGTAAGTTTTCATTTTAAAAGACTTACCATTGCATAGCCAAAACTACTATCCTGCAACCGGGTATATTTCTGCCTTGTTAATCAAGCCTGCCGATACAATGTTTCCAGCCAAACAATATTAAAAACAAAGATGCTTTCCTTTAAGGAAGGTGTTAGCTTCAAAGCTAAGCAAGGATTATAGTCATGGTAAGGTGACTAAGCACAGGAGAGAAGTTTAGGAAAGAAGAGCCGTGAGGAGCTGGCCTAGCCAGATTCTCAACTGGTGTTAATCACCCTAACGCTACTCCAGTCCGTGGAGTACACCTGATGTATTCTCGCTACAGACCAAGACCTTGAAAAGTAAATATACCAAATGTGCCAGTTCTGAAAGTCAGATTGTATGTTTTCAAAGGAAGTCCAGAAATGCAAAAGCCGAAGCTCCCAGGGTAGCACTGGCTTGCAGTCGTGTCCTACCCTGTGCATTGGACAATGCAATTAGTAGCTGTATAAAAGAGAAGGCACGGACACTCGTGTAGGTGTGGTCAGGCACAGTTAGGGTTAACATCAAAATTAACTTTTGTATTTCCTCATTACCTTTTTTTTTTTAACTGTTCAAATCTGGTACTAGAGTGGGGGCAGGGAGGGCTTCCTGGAAGTGCCAGGAGGAAGGTGGTTCACTGAAATGTGTTCTTGCATCTGCCCTTCTATTTTACACCAAGAGAGGGTTTACCCTGAAGGGCAGGTGGATAGAAAGAAAGCACAAGAGCAATTACACCATGAAGGGGCTGTTCTGCTTGGCCTGATAGGAAAATGACAGGAAGAATTCATATGCCTTCATGTCTTTCTTTAAGTCAATCCTAGATGCACTGGCAAAATGATTTCCCAGACAAGAGGCAACCACATCACATCCTTTTCACCCAGCTTTGCAGCATTAGAATTTTGTTGTTGGGTTGGTTTTTTTCCTTAAAACCTCCACTCCAGAAGTAATTGCGAGAGAACCTCAGATTACCCTTGAGAGAGAAAGAGCTAGGGTCTTTTTGCCTTGTAACTGCAGAGACAGAGCTCGAAAACAACACACCAAAAGGTTCTTCAACCAAAAGTCAAGTAACAAGAGCGGATGATATCTAGTTGGTTTAGTAGCCACTGTTTTTAAGCCAGTTGTGAGTGTTTGGGCTTAGTTCTCAAACGTCACTGCTAGTTCTTTCTGCCTGTGCTGCCGTATAACTCCTGGGCACCTACATGCCTCAGGCATGCCCTTCTGCACCTAAAAGCAGGCATGGACTCTGTAGGTGGGTGAGCAATAGCATTTTGCATGCAGCCAGCTGGCTTTGCTCTACAGGCAAACATGAGAGAATTCAGACTGTAATTAGTAACAGTTCACCTGCTCAGGGGAGCCACTCCTAAAACTGAAGACACTCACTACAAGCAAGTGCTCTTAGGTCTGAGACAGACAAACCCATGTCCCTTTCAAAAGCAGTTTCTGGAGCTAGCACAGGAACTGGGAATGTCAGTCATTTTATGTGGCCTGGATATATTCTTTACAATGCATCCTTCTGCCTAGGATCAAACACTTATGCTACCAAACAGTATGTTTTTGCTTGGAGACAAATTTAGTTTTTTACTAAACTAAATTTAGAACACAGAACAGGATTAAAGTAGTTTTAAACTGTATATAGAACTAAGCTGTATTTTAGAAGATTTTTAAATACAGATCTATTGAATATAGGAAACACATGGGAAATGCTCACTTACCCAAAATGCATCTTTAAACTGCAGCTGTGTCATTATTATTGCTGTGCGGAGGGGGAGGAATCCTTCACCAAGTTTGTTCTTGGATGAGAGCAGCAGCAGCCACAGCACTGAGCCTTGTTGTTGTACCCCAGCTGAAGCAGAAAGTGAAGCACATACACAGACCTGCCTCTTCTGAAGTCAAGCTGGTGAAAAATAGCATTGGGCAGTTTCAGTCAGCTCAGCGTAATGACCTATGGCTGTGAAGGGTCAGAGGGGGAAAAAAGCTCTTGCTCACACACAGAGACATGCATGAACTCAGCACCCTAACCCCAAACCTGTTTCTCTTCTGGTAAACAGTTAATATTGAAATGAGGAAGCAAGGAGATGTCAAATGATGTCAGGCTGCTCCTCGCCATGGGTGCGTGTGAGTGGCTGGCAAATTTAAAAAAAACAAAAAAGAGAGAGAAGAAGAAAAAAAAAGAAGTAAAATTCAGTGATATGATTTGATCAGCTACAGGAGAAGAGAGAGCAATCAAAATGCAAAGGAAGCCAGCACAATACAAAGAGATAAGCTGTGGAGGAAATTAGAGTCAATCTGTAATATAATGCTGTGGCCTTACAAAGAAAAAGAAGCAAAAGAAATGTATGTGCTACATTTCTCCAGTACCTTCTGGGGTTGGCAGAAGCCCACGTATTTGCACATGGCAAGCGTAGCTCAAAGTTGCATTTTGCAACTGTAAAGGCTTTTCAAGACTCCAGGTAAATTAAGAACACTGTAAAGTGTGCAGGTGTCTGCACACTTTTAGATACCTGTATGTCTACATAGAGAAAATTTCTGATTTGCATACCCTCATGTAAATGTTTATATGAATAGGCAAGATATGTGAAATTTACAAGTAAAATCCAAACTCTTGAAAAAACTTGTAATAAGAGAGCTAAGAGTTTATTAGCACCAGGACCTGAAGTGAAGCTTCACAGACATCTGAACCAGCAGCGCACATAGCACCACACACAGCGTGCTGCTGACATCAGGTATTTCAGACAGCTAGTTAAATAAGCTAACTGATCTGTTACAATGCAGCTGCAAATAATTGATAATAAAGTAATATGTCTAACGCTTCCATGAAACCCTCTTCAAAATGCCTGTCCTACAGGTGAGGGTGCCTCTGTTCACCTCCTTAGGATGTTTTAAGGATTCCTAAACATGCGTTTTTAAATACTTACTGGCATTTTCAGAGGGTAGAAAAAAAAGAAAAGAAAAAAAACTCTTGCCATGGTTGCCTATGCAAAAATATGTCCTTCTACACCAAGAACACATCAGGACTGACATAGCTATAATTAATTAACATTGTTCCTGATGTCTGGGTGTTGCTTTTTTCTTACTGTCCCTGCAACACAGGTCACACAGTCAGATCACTTAGTGGTGAGGAAGTCTTGCAACTTCACTGAGCTCCAGCAGGCTACAGAGATCTGCTCAGAGAGATATGCAGCAGTTGGTGGCTAGAGTTATCAGTAGTCACACCATGAGCAATTTGTAGCTAGTATTTTAGAGAATTGGCAAGTTTGCTTCCTGGTGGTCTGAAGAAGACAGGGAACATGCAAAGACTTTGAAAGGGAAAATGAAGTGCAAGCAAAGGAGGGCAAAAGAGAGAGTTTGCAGGACCAGAGGTGTGAAACTGCTTTGATTATCATGAGCAGCAGGAAAAAAAGCATCATTTTGTGAGAGGGGGAGAAGGAGAAATGTAAGGATTCACTCGCAGAGGGTACTGAGGGGGAATGAGTGAAGCATTCTTCCAGAAGGGAAAATTTCCTGAAAAAAATTTATTTTGAGGGCATGGGCACTAGTCTTAATACTTAATCTGTAAGCAAAAAAAAAAAGAATCTTTTTAAGAGTGTCTTTCTAAAACTAAATGTTTCCTCTTACTATTTCCAAATTACAGCTTTGTTTTGAAATGGATAGCTGTGCTGCTGTTGGGGTTCATAAAAATGCATTGAGTGCATTTTGGCCCTCCAAAATGATATGCTACTTTCTCATTATTTTTAGTGTGGCCTCCAACCAAAAAGCCAATTATTTGATTGAATCTCACGCTGAGTTCTGTGCCTGCGTCTGTCCCACCCAACAGTACTGGTGTAGCACAGTCACCTCCCTTAGGAGCAGCCAGGGATGCCTCTCTATATATGATAAGCACAGGCAGTTAGCTCTGCACTGTGGATGAGTTTATCTCTTACCGTTGGCTGCAGAAGAGCCTAGACCAACTGTGTTCCTAGTTCAGGTATTTTGATGAGCTGCTGGAAATTAGCTGGTGTGAATCGTAGCCCCTAGCTCTGATGAAGCAGAGCTGTTGGGCAGACACTTGATTTGGAGCCGTCACTGCTGACGTGTCCCAGTGTTGCTGGATTATGCCCAGGGTGCTGTGCCTTGCAGGGGTAGTCAGGCTTTGCAGGGCTCTGGAGAAGGGAGAAAATTATCTCACTTTTGCAGCCAAAGAAATGGAAACTTACAGCAGATGGTCCTGGCAAATATGTCAGTGCTGGAGGTGAAGGCCTGGGACGGGGTTAGTGGGATGCTGACAATGAGTCTTCTCCAAGGTGGTTGTGCTTCGCAAGTAATGCGTCATCAACCAGCCGTGCTGGCATGGGGCACAGAAACCATAACCCTATGCTGCTTATTTCCTCTGCACGCAGCAGCACCACCTCTGCCTGGCCAAGGTATGAAAGTGTATCTCTGCAGCTGGTAAATAGCTCTCTGCAGAGCCTTGGGTGCACCTCCCTGCTGCACTGGCCATGACTGGGTTCAAGAAAACTGGTATAGGATTATTTTCCTTTTCTCTTATAAGCCAAAGCACCAAAGAATACCTAAATACCTTGCAGTGGGCATCTATTAAATTTATATTGAGCTGGTCTACTACAGCTGCTAGTTTGTAGGATGCAATTACTTGTTGTAAGCTTGTTATCGTTTAGCAGAGCTTGAAATAGTACCCAGAAATAGCAGTTCCCAATAGCTGTCTTACTTTACTTAAAAGACACACCAGCCTCCTGACCACTCCAGTAACTCATCTTTGTCTCCCAACCAAATGTGTTGGGATAGTCTTTTGCAAGTCTTTTGTAAAACTCTCATGATGAATGCTGTACTTGGAGAAGAAATCTTCCTAAAATCATCCTCTAAAGAGGAACAAGGCAACACTGCATCCAGTTCTTAAATGCTCTATCTCATGACTGGGTTAATATTTTGATGTGAGTGGCCTGAGTTGTATGAAGGCTGGAAAGGCTGAGCCCAGGAGGGAGCTCTGTAGGGTTGAGAGAAGGGGAGCAAAATCAATGAACCTTGCTACGCTACTAGCTACTATAATGCCATCTTCTGAAACCACCTTGAACTTCATGAAATTTTTCCCTACAAAACAGTTATATAGATACATTTGTGCCAAACAGAAGCATTTTCAGTGGGCAAGGGGTTTAGACTACTGTCGTTGTAGTGAGTGGGACTAGGGTGGCAATGACAAGTGATCAGACACTTGGCTGTTTATTTGGTTATTGACAGGCTGGATGCTTTAGAAACCTGCAGAGCCTTTCAGCTCTCCTTCCTCACCCTTTTAGTGTGGCTTTTCATCTAATCTTTGCATACAGCTCCACTGAGAAATTCAGAAGTGTCAATAGCAAGCCTTAAGTAGAACGCTTCCCCAACAGCCACTGCAACTCCCTTCTCACTGCTGCTCTGAAAGGTTAAAAATCAGGTTTTCTATTTGATAAGGCCAAGAGTCAGGCTCCAGGCCAGAGTATTGGGGTGGGTTTTTTTGCAGTAATTAAACTGTTTGGCAGCAGAATGTACCATTTGAATCTCTTCTGTACTTGAAAGTGATGAAAAGTCTGATTTTTTTTTTAAAGAAGTTCATATTAAAACCCGTCAAATTTTGACGTGCATCAGAATGGAAGTTTCATTTCATTTTTATTTACTAAGTTTATTATTAGGGATTTGGGTGGCAGGTTTGAACCTGACAGTAGTTAAAATATGAAAATAGCATCTACAAACAGGGTTGCACTCATCTACGTCTTCAAGCAAGACATTCTTCACAGTTAATGTTTCTGATTTTGGGTAGTCTGATGGAGTAGACAGTAAACCTTTTAGTCTACATAGAAACAGGATAAGGGAGTCTATGAAAAGTATTAAGGCAGTATATAAAGAGTTGCTAAATACTTAGGTAATTCAAGTATTAAGCTGCTTTTATTTTCCAAAACTCCTGAGGTATATTGTGGTCCCCTGGAATCATTGTCTGTGAAATGAAAATGGAGAATAGAAGGCACTTCTACTCTCCTTCAAAGCCTCTATAACAATTACATCTAAGAGATATGGCTTCACAACAATTGCTGTAATACAGTCATGTTCAAAATTAAAACAGTCCAGCCTCTGGTGTCTTACTGAGTCCTAAAGCCTAGAGACACCAACAGCAATGAAACCACTTCCAGAGGAAAACCACGGCTAAAATATACAGGTGTTTTAGCTGCTTAGCTGTGCCTGCCGTTTCTATTTCCATACAAATGGCTATCCAAACTTCAATGTGGGAAATGTTAGGGGCTTTCAAATTATCCACAATCGTGCCAATTTAAAAAATTTTAAATCACCTTGCCTTCTGTGAGGAGCCAATCTCTGTTCCCATGGAAACAGAAACAGCAGCCTCCGAGCATCCAGCTCGATTTCTTACAACTCCTCTGACCCCATCTACGGTTGCCGGCTGAAAGCTGATTCAATATGCTCCAGACCCTACACCACCAGCCCTGTTCAGCTCTGAAACACACTCCCTTTGCTCCTTTTAGAAGGAACTATTTAAACATCCTTCCAAAAGCACCGTTTCACAGTGCAAGACAGTCCTGATGGCATTTTGCTTCAGTAAAATTGACAACTAACATAAAGATTAATTGCATAAACTGCATTCTTAACCAATATCTAGCATTTCATAGTGGTTTCCAATAGAGGCCTTCACTGAAAGGTGGAGCCAGTCCCTGATGTTTTACCCAAGAGAAAGATAATCATAGTCTTCACCATCATTATGAAGAACATGAATGGATTTCCTCTAAAATTAACATCATGACACTCTATATAGCCTAAATTTATTGTTCATATCACAGAAATGTGAGGTCTTTTT